TCAAAATAAAAAGAAACTACATATAGAAATGATGTTTATGCAATGCCAATTGTCAAAATAATGTGAAAGACATTTCAATATTATTACCATAAATGAGAATGTTTTGATGGATGGATGTTTGTTAGAGTTTGTAGCCCAAACTGCTACACGGATTTCACTGGGCTATTGGGGCCTATTCTGAAAGAACAGATAAGATTCTTACTTTTGTGTATCTTTATTCAACGCGGACGGTGTCGCATGTGACACCTAGTATTTCTCATGTACAATTGAAATTCTAATGTCCTTTGGATGCTCCTGTAGCCTAATTGATTGACCCGATTTCGACCAACATGTTGCCATTCCTTCGTTCACGTCCTTCCTGGTATTTTAACTAGTAATTACATTAATGTTATTTCTTTCACAGATCTATTGTTGAATAATTTTTATTTAAGTCGCACTCAAACCAACTTAATGTCTATCTTATTTTCTATCTAGGTCGCATATTATGGGTCTGAATGTTCTAAAAGCGACTTGCCCCGGCCGGTAACTGTCTGGGCCGTGATGAGTGCCGTGACCTCAACATCTATATTTAAATGCCAACAACTTCACCTTAAGCTGGAGGGGCTTATGTACAGAAACTTAACTCATAGCCTGGATTATATTTATTATTTCCATCTCATAGCAAATAAAAAAGATATAATCCGATCACACCAAATCAACGCTGTTTTTTATTTAAGCTATCAGTATCCTTCAAATTTATTCCAGAAAAAAAAACCTATATTTTTGGAAATGTATAAAGTGCTGTCGGTTACGTAATCATCATTATTTAGAGCTCTGACCCGGTACAGAATGTAAAACGAATAATCTAAGCAAATAAAATGAGAATTTGGCTGCGGCCCCATTCGGTCCTGCGAGCCGGATACGTGGCGCGTTGTAAAGGGTCACGTTATTTGCATATAAATAGGTTTCAGGCGTCGCTTTGATCGGAATGATCGGCCCATTTGTTACAGGGTCGCAGTTGTTTGGAATCTTTTCCTTTCTGTAAAAGATTGATAGGTTAAGTTGTAGCTTTACTAAGTCAATCGTTAGTCACTTGGTTTACAACATTTCTTAATCTGCATCTAAAGTTGATCAGTAATAGTTCTATGTATCAGTTATTTATGCTGAACATAGTACATAGTGTGTATTACAAAAGATAGAGCCCGTTAGGTGAAGGAAAGATGTATTGTTTAAAAAGAGTATTCTAGAACAATAACCGATAGAATAAATTGAAAGGAAGCAATTCCTTTGGGCGCTGACTAAATACAAGCCGACAATAGTCGTAAATGGGTCACAGCATTAGCATATAAATGGATTTCGGCTTTTTCTTTGACCTTATTTCTACAGGGACACTTTATTCCAAACAAGTCATAGTACTTGAAAAATCGCTTGTCCTGTGAAACTTTACGAACATTTCTTTATTAAATACTTACTTTTATACCTCAAGAGAATGTCGCATGTAACATTGAACACGTTTGCTCACAATTCGGCGTGTTCACATATGGTCCTTCCAGCCGGATAAAGCAGCGAGCTATATTACGCTAAATAAAGGATTCATAAATTGTTATTTTTATAACAAGTGGAGCAGGTAACGTGTAAACACCTAAAATGAGTAATTCTCCGTACTAATTTAGACAATGAGTAATTTGTCTTTTTCCCCTGAGCCGGCATTTTATACCTTTTGAGAGCGCAAAGAGCTTTGTGTTTAGGCGCACGTGTTTTGTTTTACCCTCAAAACATTTTCCCCTTTTGTGTCCGAAAAAAAAAACATGTGCGGAATGCCGCTGACATATTGTGCGTCCGGCTCGCTGAGGTCTGTGATATTTTTTACTGTGTTACGTTTGTGGATCAAAAGCGACCACGATAATTACGAACTTCTTTTTGTTACGTGCATACCTTTTTTTTACTAGAAAAATTACGACATTTAAAAGTAATGTGAAATAATAAATGAAAATACAAAAATGTCTTTAAAGAAATGTAAAATAAGATTATGCTACTTCTAATACTCATTTACGTTTGTCATTTGTTTTTCTAAGACGTCCATAATCTTGTTAACTTAATATACCTATTATGTAGATAATTGTTTGTTATCTTAAAGACTTTTTTTTTACATATGACAGTTTATATAATTTTTAACTGAAAATGGAAAATAGTATTTTCACATTGCATAAAGGAACATTTTAACGTTTTCATATGACTATTTTTTCGTAAATAAAGTTAAAAAATCAATCATCATAAGACACCAAAATCACTGAGCACAATAATTGTACGGGAAAATAATATATTTGAGTTAGAGTTGTGTGCGAAGTTAACGCTAATGGAAATTTAACGATCCCTCGAAACGCCTTTCGGGCTCATTATCGCTCCAGACAACTTCCAACGCAGATGTAACGATATAACGCTTTTTCTAAACTTCGCCTGATTCTGTGGATAGGAAAATTTAATAAAATGCAAATAAAACAATTGACAAACCATTAAAATGTGATCAGAGTTAAAACTTAGATAAACAAAATTCTAATTAAAATAATGTATGCAATACAATTTATAAGCACCAAGGTATAGTAGCATTTTTATTGTCTACTACGCATGCCCCTTGTG